AAGAAGAGAAAAAACGTCGAGGGAGTTCAACTACCTGAAACTGCCTTGCCCAAAGTTCAAACGTGGACGGCAAACGGCGAACGTCACCGCAGGAGTCTGGTCACGTGACTCTTAGAAGTTTGCGGTCACACGTATTCAGAAAAAAGGTGTATCTAAAACTCCCTTTAGTTGAAAGTACACGTGCAGTGCCCCCTTTAAAGCGAAAAGAAGCACAAAACTGAGGTTCGATTGGCTTAAGGTGGTGCGAGTTTTCTAGGCTAATTGAAGAGAGTAATGAAAAAAAAATTGATGCAGTAAAGAATTACTTTGAACAACCAATTGAAAATCACTCCAACATGATGTGTATAAACTAAGAATTACACTGACTTACTGGCTTTTCCTTTACCCTGAGCTTCCACTGTGGCACAAACCATCCAAGCTGCACCAATCAGAATCAGAGCAATCTTCATTGTGGATAAGCGTCTTCTTTTGCAACTGAAAAACAAAGCTTCTTGTAAAGTAAGCTCTTCTGCCGCTGTTAGATCTGCTGTGAAATTTGCTTGTATATCGTCTCGCATATATTAGAATCACATATATAAATATTAAAAAGAATGTTTTTGACCTTTTTTCCCCAAGCAACAGGATATAAAATCAAAACCAATCACCATTCGTTCAATCTTGATTTTTACGACACTTAAGCCGCCCTGTCTAGCTTGTAGCTGTCTTGTTATGCGATTAAAAAAGAAGTTTTGTTCTTTTTTTCTATGGAATCTTTCTTATTGATTAATTAACGAGTTTTTATTTTTATTTGTGATGAGGAAAAACCTTTTATTTTGTCACGTACCAAGTTTTTACTTCTTTTCCTAATTCCTATTAACTCCCAAAGATCCTGAATATGGTTATTTGTGTAATTCCCATCGTTGCGAATGAGGACTGTGTAACCTCTTTAGGCTTCAGGCAGCAAATATGACGTTTGAAAAACAGACGTTTGCGTAACACTGTGGTACAAAACACTGTACAGTGGAAGAGGATCAATGAGAAAATAAAGAGGAACGAGTAATGATAAGGATTCGCTATGAAAAATTCGTAGCTTTAACACAGCCTTAGGAATTGGGGGAGAGCATGCCTCTTATAGGAGACTGGGAACCAATTGGTAGAAATGGCGGATCAATTTGAGAGGATTTGTGTGGAGACTGACGGCTTAATTCTGCTCTTGGAATCACAGGATCATTGAGCTCACCATAGCTCCAGTTTAATTTATGTCTTTTTCTGTTACGTTTAGTTAGCAAAAAGAACTATTTCTCTTTTGCTAACGCTCTTTGTTACAAAGCGTTTTGTTATTACCACGAATAAGGGATCCATCAGACAAAACAAGGTCGCGTTGTAAAATGTATGTAAGTGGAGCCACAATAAATAACCAGTTTTCTTTCCCTAAGAGGTAGTATCGCCACCAAGTTTACCTCGTAAATTATTCAGGAATCACCGGATCATTGAGCTCACCATAGCGCCAGTCTAATTTATGTTTTCTCTGTTATGTGTAGTTGGCAAAAAGAACTGTTTCTCTTTTGCTAACGCTGCGTTTGTTACAAATCGTTTTGTTATTACAATGAATAACGGAATCCACCAGACAAAACAAGTTCGCAATGTAAATTGTATGTAAGTGGAGCTACAATAAACGACCAGTTTTCTTTTTTGAAGAGGTGGAAACACCACCAAGATAAATTCGTTAATTATTTAGTAATTACAGGATCATTGAGTTCATCATAGCGCTAGTTTAATTTGTTTTTTTCAGTTACGTATAGTTAGCAAAAGGAACTGTTTCTCTTTTGTTAACGCTGTTTTGTTACATAGCATTTTGTTATAACCATGAATAAGGGGATCCACCAGACAAAACAAGTTCGCGTTGTAAAATGTATGTAAGTGGAGCCACAACAAATAACCAGTTTTCTTTTTCGAAGAGGTGGTAACACCACCAAGATTACTCGTAAATTATTCAGCCAGAAACGCCTTTACGGGTCTTGGCTTTGTATCTTTAGAAATAAGGTGACGAATTTATCAACCAACGAGAAAATTAGCCGCTTTGTGAAAAGCAAAATTAAACATTAAAACTCATTCCTTGCTTTATGTTGAATTTCCAGGCTTTTATTAGAATATTTTAAGGCAACTTCCCTATTTTTTCTTGAATTTCTTTTTAATTTTCTAAACCCTCTGATAAGTAACTTATATCCTGAATCTGAATTTCACCTGGAATTTCCATTGTTTTTCGATAAGAATAACATCGACTCATTTTTTGGACTCTGAAACCTATAAATAGATTTAAATCGCGAAATCGCGCTCACGGTCAGAAATCGAGGACAACATGGCGTCCAGGCATGCGCTCAACGTTCTCGAACTGGGAATTAAAATGTCAGTCGTTAAAGGCTTCGTGCATGGGGGAAAAATAAAACTTTTAAAAATTGCTCAAGTTACAGGGAAAATGATTCACATGCGATCAAAATGTTGAGTCGAGTCAAATTTGTAGCATCCCTAGAGTATGCTAGATGGAGTCCCGAACCATCGCTTTACCGAGTACTCTTTTCCCATGGCTCTGTAATTTGGTTGAATGCCTTCCTCCCAGTCAAATTATGGCCACCAAACAGAGGACTTTCCAACTTTTGAGCGTCCATTCCGCTAAAGCAAAGGTTAAACTTTGAGATTTGAAGCTTCAATAATGCTGAATTCTTGTTTTTGTGGGATCTTTTATTCCGTAAAATAATGGAATTCTGAAAATCCATTTTCAGACCCAGCAGTTCGTCAAACAGACAAGGAAGAAGCTATTTGCGAGCGGTTTTTCTGGACCTAAACGATTCCTTTCGAACGCCATTGCTTTCACGTGTGGTTACAAAGCCTTACAATATTTATCGCTGGCCCTGAATCATTGTGGCTCCTAAACATGTGTTACAGTTGGGGGTGAAAGCCTCATTGGTTATTCATGAGAGTTGGGGGATCAACACATGTGGCGCTATGCGCCAGACGTTCTCGTTGAATACTTGCGTTCTTAGATTCTGAGTGAAGAAATCAACAATAACCTTTTTTTTATGATGCTATAAAAACTGAATAATTTCCTGTTCGGATTATCAATCCTTCACTTCACTCGTATCTCAGCAAAATAACGTGGAGCACTGGGACCAATGTTAATTTTGAACTACGATATGTCAGCGGGTTATCATTTATTAATATATATGTCATAAGAACCTTGCTTTGAAAATTTCTAATTTCACGAGTCTTTCCGCGCGAAAGATGAGCGAGAAAAAGCTCGATAGCTTCAGTTGTGTGAATTATGTGGAAGACTGGTCCATTCTCGTCAATTACCTGATCACAAAGCAGATTCGTCCAGCGACGATCATAAGTGAGCGTTCATGCAAGATGGCGTCCTGCACGCTCTCGTCTAGCGACTAAATACAGGAATGGCTCCGACCTGTGATTGGATGATAAAAATAGTAAAAGTTAATAACTTGTATCTTAACTCCTTGCTCGTGAGTATGCTTAACCGCGTGTCTCGAAGCGGAACAATGAAATATCAATGTGAAAACGCCGATGAGTCAAACAAGAAATGGCTACTTACATAATGAAGAGAAGGCAGAGTCTAGCTTGTTCAGCGAGGTCGTTCAGCGATATTCCGGCGATGAAAAAGTCATACGCTGACAAGCTCCGCTGACAAAACTCATTTAGTCAGTTTAGGCGGACGACCAGACTGGAGCCATTCGTGTATCCGCCATTCCCTCTAAACGGAATATGGTTTTCGGAGTCGTAAATGGTTCTGAACAGGGTCTCTTTTCAGACTCAAGGCCTTGAGTGGGGTTAAAATGTTGCCAGTGCAGACTCCTGATATGCTGTGCTGGCCAAACTTTTTAAAATTTTACTGTAAATATTCTTTGGTTTTACCAAATATTTACGAGTCCATTATAAAACAACTCATGAGTACAACAAGGCCTTAACGGTCAGTGATCAGTCATCCCAGCCCTGGTCATTCTTAAACCTCAATGAAAGGATTTTTACCAAGGGACAGACTTCCCAAAGTTATCATTGGTTACTTACAAGAGGTTTAAGTTTAATTTCTGTATTTTAACTCTGACTATAGCAGATAGTAAACTGGAACTGCCATCTCGAAAGAATGTAATGTAGCTGAACAGTAACACAATGGGGGAGTGCAACCTGCCCATTGGAAAAAGAGTTGAAGTGAGGTCAGACCAGAAAAAATTAGAGGTAAATGTTGGAAAATAGGCTCATAATTTCTTACATGGTTCATCTTTAGTGTATGAGCATGATGGATGTTAGGCAAGATTGAGATGCCAGTTACTCTACATGTGATTGTTACTTTAGCCCTTTGATTTCTTCCTATAACCTATCAAAGAGGGAACATATCCAGAATAATTTCTAATTAAAATAAAATCACTGTTTGTTACATTGGCAGATTGTCTGTATGGCATGGCCTTCATCAAGAGTCTCTCCAGAGTGTAGTTGGATAACATTCATTTTTCATTGATGTTGCAATTTGTCATGAGCATAAAAATATTCCTGATGATTAGTGGTAATTACTGGTACTAATATTACTGGTAATTACTGATAATTAGCAGTAATTACTGGTACTGATATTACTGGTAATTACTGATTAATGCTTGAGATTGTTTTAATATTGACAGGAGAAATTCTTTCTTGGTTATTCTTGAGAGTCGAGGGATCAACACATGTGGCGCTATGCGCCGGACGTTCTCCTTGAATATTTGTGTGCTTCAATTCTGAGTCGAAAGATCAAAGATAATTTTTTTTTTATATGATTTAAAAAAAAATAACCTGTTCGGGTTGTCAATCCTTCTCTACCTCGGCTGCAAATTCACGTATCTCAACAAAATAACTTGGAGCACTGGGACCAATATTTATTCTGAACTACGATATGTCAGCGGGTTATCATTTATTCATATTCACCTTATGTGAACCTAGCTTTGAAAATTTTTAATTTCACGTGTTTTTCCTCGCGAAAGATGAGCAAGAAAAAGTTCGATAGCTTTCAGTTATGTGATTTATGTGGAAGACTGGTGTATTCTCGTCAATCAGCTGATCACAGGGCGGTATGTGAAGCAGATTCGTCCAGCGACGATCATAAGTGCGCGTTCATACAAGATGGCGTCCTGCACGCTCTTGTTGTGGAGACGAACAACAAAATGTTTTCAGGTTCGTCAGATAGATTTGAGCAAAGGTTAACAGTGTCCAGTGATTTTGCTTTAAAGTTTAACCTAGGTGTTTGCAATCCTAGAGTTATGTTAGTTCTGAATTGGAACGACCGCGGGTCCAAGGAGAAAATGGGGGTCGTGGGTTTTTTCTAATTGAGGAGGGGTGTTCTGACCGGTATTCCCTCCTAACGGGAAATACTTTTGGTCCTGATCAGTCATCACTCGCCCCAGTCATTCTTAAACCTCAGTGAAAGGATATTTACTTAGGGACAGACTTCCCGAAGTTATCATTGGTTGCTTACAAGAGGTTTAAGTTACATTTGTCATGTATAGTTAACTGTCAACGGAGAAAGAAATTTCTGCCATCAGCGAAAGAACCAATGTGGGATTTAGCAGTGATGAAGATAAAGATATAAATCATTTGAGGTCGGTAAATAAAATGGATGAACATATTGAGAAACCTTCCATTTTTAATCACGAGAAAGAAGATGCCATGATAAGCAGCCGAAATGCAACTCCGAAGGTCATGCGTTAGGATCGGCTGCTTTCGTCAGAACCAAAGGACCAAAGTGTTTCCAAAGTCGAATTTTTATTGTGAATCATCGGACGAAGGTGTTCAAATCCGTTTTGGTGTAGAGACTTCTAGAGTGGTACTCGATGAAAATGACAATTGGCAAAATGGCAAAGTACTGTAATACTACAAAACCCATAAGTGGCTAATGATTTCGATAGACTGAATAAAAAGTGGAACTGTCAGATTCAGGGAAACTTGATTCCCCAGTACATGAGCCAAATCCTACACGAACACAGAAAGCTTCATGTGACCGAAATGCAAAGGACTTTCCGGCTTACATGAGGAAAGTGCAAAGGAAGAAGGAGAAAAAGAAAAATGACAAAATAGAAAAAATATTCTTTGTATAATCAATTCTGACAAACAAACTTGTTAATCATCGAAGTGTTTGCTCAACCAATCGGTATCTTGTGGAAGCGTCAAGTGAAAAGGAAAAAACATGGAGTCTTATCTGAGATATAAAGACGCAAAAAAAATTTCTGCTGTCATCCATCATCACTGGGGCTGAGATTGGGCTGGAGACTGGGCCGAGTTTGCCAAAAAGGAGTTTTAAAGGAATTACCTGACCCGTCCTTGGACATTTATTACCTGACTCATATTTGACTCATCAGAACAAATGAGTTTCTATGCTATCAGATTTATTTCAGTTTTGGCCCAAATTTTTCACAATTTCACATTCTTTTTCAACTCGCAAATGCTAAATCTGCGTAGTTGTCCAAGAATCTCTTTTTTTTATCTCCAAGGAAGGTTGTTAATCTCCAGATTTTGGGTGCTGGAGATCCGGATCAATTTTTTGATATTCGCATCTAACGCCTTCAAACTCAGAAGTACAATGACAAGCTCTGACCCTGCCCTGATCAGTTTCTAGGGCGAAACACGTTCCCCCATTCCGACATTCCATTTCTTGATCTTCTTCGGCTGTACAGGCTGAAGGAAGAAAAAAGACATAAACGAAGGAAACGATCATTATTACTTGTGTTATAATAAAGTTTGCCTTATCCCTTTATAACGTTCTGTAATATACTCATGATCCTCTCCCCTCATGGGCAGTTAATTGGCAGTCATTTTTCTATACTATATTGGAGACGACTGATTCCCCCCTCGTCCCCCCTCTCTCCTGCAAATCATATGATTCCCCCGCCACGTGATAAAAAATGGCTGGCTCACTATTCATCAATTAGTTGCCCCTGAGATTAGGTACAGACTGCTTAAATGCACCAAGCACAATCTGTTAGAAGAAAGCGCATTGATAGTCCGAATACTACAACATAAAGCGTGAAACTCTGACCTGTTAAATATCATCACGATCTGGGGCAAAGACAAAGTTTAGTCTGTGTTTTTGTTTCTGTATAAATTGTTTTTATGACTGATAGAGATGTCGTTACATAATACTTTTTTCTTCGCGCTATATTGTAACTGAGGTGAATAAAAAATATCAAGAAAACAGAAAATTTAAATTTGGAGGGAAAATATTATGGTCTGCGAGGAAAACTTAGGTAGCTTGTGAGTTCCTCCGTTATCACCTTGAAAGCAAAAAAAAAAAGACATTACAAAAATTTTACATAACTTCTTTAATACTGTTACAAATAGCCAAATCAACTTTTGCTGGGTAAGGACTGAAGAAAAAGCGAGAATGTTGAATGATTTTTAAGGAGATGATACCAGATTTTGTACTCATCGTGAGGAGGGTCACTTGAAATGAACCGAACACTTTATTAAACGGCTAACTGATCGAACTGTTGACATTTACCAGGATTACTTAAATCTCAAAGAAAACACATACAAACTGCTCCAAGAGGGTAGCAAAGGGTTTATCCATGACACGTGATTAGGCCCAAAATTAATGCGGGAGGCGTAAATTTTACAGAGGCAAGGTAACGTGAGATTTCAAGTTCTCTTTTTAGATGCTTGAAATACTGTTAATAGAGAGTCTTAGATCCACGTTTGGTGTATTCACCGCTATCGTCAAACCGTAGTCAGTAGTTTGTGGTTAGAAGCTAGAAGTCTCGAGATTTTTAGCTTATTAGACCGACGTCCGCTTTCACTTGAAGAAAAACAATCAACATGTGCGCCGCCAACTTGAATCACACAAAGGATGGAAGTCCTTGGTTTCAAACACAAAATGTGGATGAATGATTAGTTTTCTAACGTCCCAAACGGATTGATTATAAAGAGAAGACTTCACTTCACATATATTTATAGGACGTACGTGAGAACTTTTGAACAAGAAGGAAAAAAGCATCGAGGGAGTTCCACAACCTGAAACTGCCTTGTCCAAAGTTCAAACGTGGACGGCAAACGGCGAACGGGACTATCGGAGTCTGGTCACGTGACTCCTAGACGTTTTCGGTCACACGTATTCAGAGACAAACGTGGCTCTAAAACTCCCTCATGTTGAAATCACACGTACCGCGCCCCCCTCAAAGCGCAAAGAAGCACAAAACTTAGGTTCGATTGGTTTAAGGTGGCGCGACTTTTCTAGATTAATTGAGGAGAGTAATGAAGAAAAAAATTGATGCAGTAAAGGATTTCTTTTGAAAACCAATTGAAAATTACTCGAACATGAAGCGTATAAACTAAGAATCACACTTACTTACGGGCTTACCAGCTTCCACTGTCGCACATACCATCCAAGCAGCACTAATCAGAATCAGAGCAATCTTCATTGTGGATAAGCGTCTTCTTTTGCAACTGAAAAATAAAGCTTCTTGTAGAGTAAACTCTTCTGCCACGGCCAGATCTGCTGTGAAATTTGCTTGAATATCGTCAAGTATATATTAGACTCACAAATCTAAATATTTAAAAAATGTTCCTATCCTTTTGTTCCCAAGCAACAGGTTATAAAATCAAAACCAATCACCATTCGTTCAATCTTGATTTTTACGACACTTCAGCCGCCCTTTCTAGCTTGTAGCTGTCTTGTTATGTGATTTCAAATGATGTTTTCTTCGTTTTTTCCTATTGAATCTTTCCTATTGATTGGTATTTTACAGGTTTTTATTTATGAATGAAGAAACTTTTTATTGTCTCGTACCGTGTTTTCACTTTTTTCCTAGTTTCACATTAACTCCATAAAACCCTTTTTATGGATATTAGTGTAATTCCCATTGTTAAGAATGAAGAATGTGTGAGCTCTTTAGCCAGGCAGCAAATCAGACGTTTAAAAGACAGACGTTTGCATAACACCATGGTACAAAACACTGTACAGTAGAGGAGCGACAATGAAATAGGAACGAATAATGATAAGGATTCGTTATGCAAATTCGTGCTTTAACACGGCATTAGGAATCAGGGGAGAGCATGCCTTGCATAAGAGATTGTGGACCAATTGGTAAAAATGGCCAATCCATTTGAGAAAAGTTGTGTGGAGACTGACGGCTAAACTCTGCTCTTGGAATCACAGGATCATTGAGTTCACTGTCCATGAGGGGAGGATCATGAGTAAATTACAGAAACGCCTGTTCGGATATTAGCTTTTCCTCTTTAGAAATTAGGTAACAAATTTGTCAGCAAGGATCGCGAAAAGCCAACGAGAAACTTAGGTGCTTTGTGACACGCCAAATTAAACTTTGAAACTCATTCTTTGTTTTATGTTGAATTTCTAGGCTTTTATGAGAATACATCAGGCAACTTCTCTTTTTTAGGTCGTTCTTTTCCGAGCTCGCTGATCCGCTATTGGTGCTTAAAGCGGAGAACCGAGAACTGAACAGAAAGCTGCAGGAGGTGAGAATTTCCGAGGCGGGAAAACTGACAAAAATGTAGTATGAGAATGCGCAGCTTCACCGCAAGATTGTGGAGCTCAACCTCGAGAGTGCTCCGAGCGAAGAGGCTGAAAAAGTGTGACGCTTTTTTAAGAAGAATGCGGAATTGAAGAAGCAGTTGGGAGAAGTCAGTATTTTTAATTCAATTTGGTGTGATGTAACGCCTCAAATACAGAGAAAACAGAACGAAGATAGAAAAATTTCGAAAGATTTTTAAAAGAGAGGTAAGAGACATTGATGAATGGAAATTATTTCTGAAAGTAACAGATGCTGTGGCTGACGTTCCATCTTTTAAGATACAAAGCTGCTCCGCCTATCCAAAACCTTTTGTTTATCAGTCTATTCATTCATTTATATTTAGCTTGTTTGTTTATTGTTAAGTTAGTTCTAGGGCCTAAGAGGACCCCACTCAAGAAAATACAGAATCAGCGGAGTGTTTTCTTAACATGGGGGGGGGGGCTCGTGGTGCAAAAAATATCTTCACCTACCCCCACTCAAATTTGCCCCAAATTCCCTGAAGTGCAAGCATACCTATTTGCCTGCCGAACACCCCGGTTAAACCATAATCGATTGTGACACTGCATAAATAGGTAGTTATAGAGAAAAAAGTGTCTAAAAGCAGCTCCCTCGGCTAATCAGATGCAAAAGTGAAGCCAACTGCGACATAGAGGTCACTCGCGTTATCCTCCTTTTCAGACAGCCTCCTTGTTTTCTGTACCCTCGTTAGCTGTAGTAATAAATATGCTTTTAGGTTATTAAATAAACAACCAAATAGCGCCCTAACTTGAACGAGTGAAAATAGTGTAAATATGGGATTGGCTTCGGAAAATAGACCCTCTGTCTTGGTGAGGAAATCATTCAAGCTGAATAGTATTTTCAATCTGAGAATTTTGTGTTCCTCTACAACAGCTTCAGCAGCTTCTTAGTGTACGATTTAGCTTTGAGGGCATCGACAAAAGACAAGATTTCTGCGCAAGCACTGAAAATCCACGTGTTAGGACAACGCAGGCGGAGGCTGAAGCAGACAAGTTTTTAACAATTGTATCAGAATCTCTTCAAGTTGTAATAAGCGAAACCAGAAGCACGGGAAAACTCCGTCTATTATTCGTAGAGATAACATAGATAGCTGCAAGTTGAATAAAGAAATTTCTGACATCGGCGAAAGAACCAATGTGAGATTTAGCGGTGATGAAGATGAAGATATAATTTATTTGAGGTCGGTAAATGCAATGGATGAACATATTGAGAAACTTTCCATTCTTAGTCTCGAGAAAGAAGATGCCATGATAAGCAGCCAAAATGCAATTCCGAAGATCGTGCGTCAGGATCGACTGTTTTCTTCAGAACCAAAAAACGATAACATTTCCGAGCCAAAGTCGAACTCTTATCGTGAATCATCGAACGAAAGTGTTCAAAACCTTTTTGGCGTTGAGACTTCTAGAGTGGTACTCGATGATAATGACAATTTGCAAAGTACTGTAATACTACAAAACCCATTAGTGGCTAATGATTTCGATACAAATCAAGAATTTCCCGCGGAAATAAAAAACTTTTTAGGTCAGGCTGAAGAAAAAGTGGAATTGTCAGACTCGAAGACACTTGAGTACATAAGGTAAATCCTACGCGAACACAGAAAGCTTCATGTGACCGAAGTGCAAAGGACTTTCCGGCTTACACGAGGAAAGTGCAAAGAAGGAAGGAGAAAAAGAAAAATGACAAAATAAAAAAATATTCTTTGTATAATCAATTCTGACAAACAAACTCGTCAATCATCGAGATATTTGTTTAACCAATTAGTATCATGTGAAAGCGTTTAGGGAAAAAGAGAAAACATGGAGTCTTATCTGAAATATAAAGATGCAAAAAAAAATCTCTGGCGTCCTCCATCGTCATTGGGGCTGAGATCTGGGTGGAGATTTAGGCGAGGTTATAAGGGAATTACCTGACCCTTCCTTGGAAATTTATTACCTGACTCATATTTGACTCATCAAAACAAATAAGTTTCCATGCTATCAGATTTATTTCAGTTTTGGCCCAAATTTTTCACAATTTCACATTCCTTTTCCACTCGCTAGTGCTAAATCTGCGGATTTGTTCAAGAATTTTTTTTAATCTCTAAGGAAGGCTCCTGTGTCCCCTGAAGATCCCGCTCTATTATTCGATGCAAGCATCTTTGGCCTGTAAACCCATCAGCACATTTACAACGTAGTTTCGTAGGACCACGTTCCAAGGCGAAACACGTTCCCCCATTCGCACAGCCTATTTTTTGAACTTCTTCGGGCGTACAAGCTGAAGGAATAAAAGACATAAACGAAGGGAACGGTTATTATTGGTTATGTTATGATAAAACTTACCTTATCCCTTTATAACGCTCTTTAATATACTCATGAACCTTTCCCTCGTTGGCAGTTAATTGGCTGTCATTTTTCTATACTATATTGGAGACGAATGATCCCCCTCCGTCCCTCCCCCCCCGCCTACAAACCATGTAATCCCCCGCCAAATAATAAAAAAATGGCTGGCTCCTTATTCAACAATTAGTCGCCCCCTGAGATTAGGTAGGGGGCTGCCTAAATGCACCAAGCAGAGTCTGTTAGAAGAAAACATATTAAGAGTTCGAATCTTCTGACATAAAGCTACGATCTTCTCACATGTTAATTATCATCACGATCTGGGGCAAAGACGAAGTTTAGTCTGTGTTTTTGTTTCTGTATAAATTGTGTTTTGTAATTGATGGAGATGTCGTTATATAATACTCTTTTCCTCACACTATACTATAACGAGGTAAAATAAAAAATATCAAGAAGATTGGTAATCTAACTTTGGAGGGAAGATATTTGGGTCTGCAAGGAAAAACTTACGTAGGTCGTGACTTCCTTCGCCATCACCTTGAAAGCAAAAAAAAAGATATAAAAGTTTTACATAACCTCTTTATTACTATGACAAATAGTCAAAACAAGTTTTGCTGAGTAAGGACTGAAGAAAAAGCGAGAAAGTTGAATGATTTTTAACGAGAAGATACCAGTTTTTATGCTCATCGTGAAGGGAATCACTTGAAAAGAACGGAACACTTTATTAAACGGCTAACCAATCGAACTGTTGACATTTACCAGGGTTACTTAAATCTCAAAGTAAAAACATACAAACTTCTCGAAGAGGGAAGCAAATGGTTTATGCGTGACACACATGATTAGGCCCAAAATTAATGCGAGAGGCGTGAATTTTACAGAGGCAAGGTAACGTGAAATTTCAAGATTTCCTTTCGATGCTTGAAATACTTTCTATATTAAAAGAAAGAGAAGATTTCTCATAAAAACCTCTATAAAAATATATTTATACAACTAAAAAATTATTAAAACTAAGAGTAAATCACGATTAAAATGTAAAATTTGAGAAATCAAACATAGACATCAAGTTCCTAAATGTTCCGATTTTATCAGCGGCACGAAACTGATCCGGAAGAGTGTTCCAAATCTTAGCTGCAGTATAACGCCACGATGTAAGACCATAGGTGATTGTATTTACTTTGGGTAGCTCGAGGATGTGTTTTCCTCTAAGATTATAATTAGTTGATCGTTCATGCAATAGCTCTTATTCCTGTAGGGACTTAATACCCATGGATAGCTTTGTAGACACCGGTGGCCATTTCAACAATTCTTTGATTAAATGGAGACAGCAAGTTTAGTTGTTTTAGCAACGTCTCGTACGTGGTTGACTTGTCACGGGTCACAAAGCGAAGGGCTCGTTCACTGACTTTTTCAAGTTTGCCGGAACCTCTTCTACCACAGTGATGCCACGACTCTGAGCAGTAATTGAAATGCGGTGCAATGAAAGCACGATATGTATCTATCCTTGGTTCAAAAGGCAATATTTTCTTCAGACGATTGAGAACAGCAACCTGTTGACTTACTTTACAACAGAGTTTACGAATCTGTCCCTCAAACTTAAGCTTGTTATCGATAGTGACGCCAGGGAGTTCCATTTTATCTTGAATAGGGATAACGGTTCCTTCACAGGTCAACACAGGATTTCTCTCGACCCTTCCAAAAGTAATTGCTTGATATTTTGAATGATTTATTTTCATTTGTTTGAATTCAAACCACTCATCAACCTTTTCAGATCAGCACTTATGGCAAGTTGGTCGATATTTTTCGCAGACTTGAACAATTGAGTGTCATCGGCATACGTGAATACTGTGCATTCATCCATAGCATAAGACACGTCATTCATGAAAATATTAAAGAGAATGGGACCCAAAATGGATCCCTGGGGGGACACCCTTGATTATAGTTTTCATAGAAGAGTGTTGTCCCGTCAATCTAACACGTTGCTGTCTGTCGCTTAAATAATTCGTTACGAGATTGATAACTTTTGAGTTTCCACCGTAATCTTCAAGCTTTTTAACAATGAGATCATGGAGAAGGGTGTCAAATGCTTTTGACAGATCCATAGACACCAGACTAATAACTTTGTGATTATCTAATTCTTTCTTGAATTGTTCAGTTAGACTAAGGATAGCTATGTCGCACCCATGAAAATCTCTATATGCAAAGACATTGTTACAAAAAACATCTTCAAAGTGTGAAGCAAGTGGTTAGAAGCAAGAAATCTCGAGATTTTCAGCTTCTTAGCTCGACGTCGGCTTTCGTCCGAAAAAAAGAACCATCATGTGCGTCGCCATCTTGAGTTACATAAAGGATGGGGGTCCTTCATTTCAAACACAAAATGTGGCTGAAAGATTAATTTTCTAGCGTCCCAAATGGATTGGTTGAAAAGAAAAGACTTCACTTCATATATATCTATAGGAAGTACATGAGAACTTTCGAACAAGAAGAGAAAAAACGTCGAGGGAGTTCAACTACCTGAAACTGCCTTGCCCAAAGTTCAAACGTGGACGGCAAACGGCGAACGTCACCGCACCGACTCTTAGAAGTTTGCGGTCACACGTATTCAGAAAAAAAGGTGGATCTAAAACTCCCTTAAGTTGAAAGTACACGTGCAGTGCCCCCTTTAAAGCGAAAAGAAGCACAAAACTGAGGTTCGATTGGCTTAAGGTGGTGCGAATTTTCTAGGCTAATTGAAGAGAGTAATGAAAAAAAAATTGATGCAGTAAAGAATTACTTTGAACAACCAATTGAAAATCACTCCAACATGATGTGTATAAACTAAGAATTACACTGACTTACTGGCTTTTCCTTTACCCTGAGCTTCCACTGTGGCACAAACCATCCAAGCTGCACCAATCAGAATCAGAGCAATCTTCATTGTGGATAAGCGTCTTCTTTTGCAACTGAAAAACAAAGCTTCTTGTAAAGTAAGCTCTTCTGCCGCTGTTAGATCTGCTGTGAAATTTGCTTGTATATCGTCTCGCATATATTGGAATCACATATATAAATATTAAAAAGAATGTTTTTGACCTTTTTTCCCCAAGCAACAGGATATAAAATCAAAACCAATCACCATTCGTTCAATCTTGATTTTTACGACACTTAAGCCGCCCTGTCTAGCTTGTAGCTGTCTTGTTATGCGATTAAAAAAGAAGTTTTGTTCTTTTTTTTCTGATGATGTGGAAAAACCTTTTATTTTGTCACGTACCAAGTTTTTACTTCTTTTCCTAATTCCTATTAACTCCCAAAGATCCTGAATATGGTTATTTGTGTAATTCCCATCGTTGCGAATGAGGACTGTGTAACCTCTTTAGGCTTCAGGCAGCAAATATGACGTTTGAAAAACAGACGTTTGCGTAACACTGTGGTACAAAACACTGTACAGTGGAAGAGGATCAATGAGAAAATAAATAGGAACGAGTAATGATAAGGATTCGCTATGAAAAATTCGTAGCTTTAACACAGCCTTAGGAATTGAGGGAGAGCATGCCTCTTATCAGAGTTGGGAACCAATTGGTAGAAATGGCGGATCAATTTGAGAGGATTTGTGTGGAGACTGACGGCTTAATTCTGCTCTTGGAATCACAGGATCATTGAGCTCACCATAGCTCCAGTTTAATTTATGTCTTTTTCTGTTACGTTTAGTTAGCAAAAAGAACTATTTCTCTTTTGCTAACGCTTTTTGTTACAAAGCGTTTTGTTATTACCACGAATAAGGGATCCATCAGACAAAACAAGGTCGCGTTGTAAAATGTATGTAAGTGGAGCCACAATAAGTAACCAGTTTTCTCTCCCTAGGAGGTAGTATCACCACCAAGTTTACCTCGTAAATTATTCAGGAATCACAGGATCATTGAGCTCACCATAGCGCCAGTCTAATTTATGTTTTTCTCTGTTATGTGTAGTTGGCAAAAGGAACTGTTTCTCTTTTGCTAACGCTGTTTTTGTTACAAATCGTTTTGTTATTACCATGAATAACGGAATCCATCAGACAAAACAAGTTCGCAGTGTAAATTGTATATAAGTGGAGCTACAATAAACGACCAGTTTTCTTGTTTGAAGAGGTGGAAACACCACCAAGATAAATTCGTTAATTATTTAGGAATTACAGGATCATTGAGTTTAACATAGCGCTAGTTTAATTTGTTTTTTTCAGTTACGTATAGTTAGCAAAAGGAACTGTTTCTCTTTTGTTAACGCTGTTTTGTTACAAAGCATTTTGTTATTACCACGAATAAGGGGATCCACCAGACAAAACAAGTTCGCGTTGTAAAATGTATGTAAGTGGAGCCACAATAAATAACCAGTTTTCTTTTTCGAAGAGGTGGTAACACCACCAAGATAACTCGTAAATTATTCAGCCAGAAACGCCTCTACGGGTCTTAGCTTTGTATCTTTAGAAATAAGGTGACGAATTTATCAGCGAGGATCACGAAAAACCAACGAGAAAATTAGAAACTCATTCCTTGCTTTATGTTGAATTTCCAGGCTTTTATTAGAATATTTTAAGGCAATTTCCCTATTTTTTCTTGAATTTCTTTTTGATTTTCTAAACCCTCTCATAAGAAACTTATATCCTGAATCTGAATTTCAACTGGATTTTTCCATTGTTTTTCGATAAGAATTACATCAACTCATTTTTTGGACTCTGAAACCTATAAATAGATTTAAATCGCGAAATCGCGCTCACGGTCAGAAATCGAGGACAACATGGCGTTCAGGCATGCGCTCAACGTTCTCGAACTGGGATTTAAGATGTCAGTCGTTAAAGGCTTCGTGCATGGGGGAAAAATAAAACTTTTAAAAATTGCTCAAGTTATAGGGAAAATGATTCACATGCGGTCAAAATGTTGAGTCGAGTCAAATTTGTAGCATCCCTAGAGTATGCTAGATGGAGTCCCGAACCATCGCTTTACCGAGTACTCTTTTCCCATGGCTCTGTAATTTTGGTTGAATGCCTTCCTCCCAGTCAAATTATGGCCACCAAACAGAAGACTTTCCAACTTTTGAACGTCCATTCCGCTAAAGCAAAGGTTAAACTTTGAGATTTGAAGCTTCAATAATGCTGAATTCTTGTTTTTGTGGGATCATTTATTCCGTAAAATAATGGAATTCTGAAAATCCATTTTCAGACCCAGCAGTTGGTCAAACGGACAAGTAAGAAGCTATTTGCGAGCGGTTTTTCTAGACCTAAACGATTCCTTTCGAACGCCATTGCTTTCACGTGTGGTTACAAAGCCTTACAATATTTATCACTGGCCCCGAATCATTGTGGCTCCTAAACATGTGTTACAGTTGGGGCTGAAAGCCTCATTGGTTATTCATGAGAGTTGGAGGATCAACACATGTGGCGCTATGCGCCAGACGTTCTCGTTGAATACTTGTGTTCTTAGATTCTGAGTGAAGAAATCAACAATAACCTTTTTTTATGATGCTTTAAAAACTGAATAATTTCCTGTTCGGATTATCAATCCTTCACTTCACTCGTATCTCAGCAAAATAACGTGGAGCACTGGGACCAATGTTAATTTTGAACTACGATATGTCAGCGGGTTATTGCCAACGAGCCAGCCGAGCGAAGACGCGAGGCTGGCGAGGCGGCAGCATTATAGAGCCGTGCGAGAGTATTGTACAGGCGGAAAAAATCTCGAGTGATTGTAAGATGTCTGTAAGGTAAGATTCCTGAGATTCCAATGACGTAATGTGAATAGGCTTTGTTTTGCAACGGACCAATGGTAGCGCGCAAAGATCGTGACGTCAAGTCCACATGGTGCTTATCGTGGACGCTTAGCAGCTTTGTCATTTATCGAGCGGAGGAGCGAGCAAGTTTGAGGTAAGAAAATTGTATTTTTCACCTACCTTTGTAAGTTTTATTTCCAATTCTGCGTGAGTGCACTTAAGTTAAGTGCCTTTGTGGTATAATTATCGAGTTAGCAAGCTCAGTAACCGGCCAGTGTGCCAAAGTCGGCCAGTGTGCCAAGTTGACGAGTGTGTCAAAGTCGGCAAGCGTGCCAAATGTAGACAACGCCAGCAGGCATAGAGCAATCAAAGAAACTGAGAAACCACCGAATTAAACAAAACAAAGCTCAAACAAACGATAATCGTAGCAAACTAGCGGCCAGTAAGCCAACTTTGACACCATTAGCGAGCAGAAAGCAATCAAAGTTGTAGCAAACTAGCGGCGGCGAACGAGCCACACGTGAGAGTGCCAAAGTCGGCAAGGGTGCCAAATCTAGACAACGCCAGCAGGCATAAAGCAATCAAAGAAAGTGAGAAACCGCTTGAAACTGTATTCAAACAAAACAAACGATAGTTTTAGCAAACTAGTGGCCAGTGAGGCAACTTTGTCACCATTAATAGCGAGCAGTTAGACAACGCCAGCAGGCATAAAGCAATCAAAGAAACTGAGAAACCGCTTGAAACTGTATTCAAACAAAACAAACGATAGTTTTAGCAAACTAGTGGCCAGTGAGGCAACTTTGTCACCATTAATAGCGAGCAGAAAGCAATTAAAGTTGTAGCAAACTAGCGGCGAGCTAGCCACGAAAGAGTGCACTCGTCATTGGCCACTGAACCAACTTTGTCACCCCACAAACAAGCTGAAAACAATCGAAGCAACTGAGATTCAACTTAACTTAAGCTTGAGTTAAATTCAAAGGAAACCTAACGCGGCGGAAGTGCATTGGAGAGCGAGCAAGCTGCAATAATCAACTGTCAGCTCGATCAATTCTTTCGACTGTTATTAATATCAAGCGTATCACGAATTTTTGAAGCACAGACTTTTGCCCACTAAAATACAAGGTACACCTAGAGCAATAAACCGCACAAAAGTTTGAAAATGATGTGGCTATTGTTTATGTTGCTACTCTTTCCCAATCGTACTGCCCACAATAATCTGTTAGAATTGGGGAGTGTGTGCCCAAAATGCAGCATGATCTATTTCAGATTTAGGGGGAGATACTTGTCAAGGCGAATAGCTTATCCTTCTAATGGTAGTTTTAATCCCTTCGTTATTTCAAACAAGGAGGCACACATTGTGAATGGGAACATAAATTCAGAAGTGTTGGAAGAAAAACGCAATGCAATATGTAATAGCACTGATAGTAATTCTACATACATGTGTGAAGGATCAAATGTAAGAGATCACTTTCGTAATTATTGTTTGACCAACGTAGGGAAGTTTTCTTGTGCAGTTGATTGCTTTCTTGAGCTATGTTATTTTGTTTTTCGCAATCATCTTCAAAACATTACATGCAATGATTTTTTTCAAGTTATCTCTGAGGCGTGCAATCAAAGGGCAATTGTTGGTGCTGTTGATGTTGTGCGAGAGCCTATATGGTCACTGATCAGAGGTCGTTGCCCATCATTTTCTTCAATGACTGCAAATGCTGTTTTTAGTGACATATTTACCATGCAAGCATTTGGGGATTTAACCAGTGATTTGAAATCATTATTTCTTATTCAACAATGTAATCAGACTTGCTGCACCCTGTGTAACAATCAAATATTGAAAACTACTAGCACTATTGTCTTGTATATTACTTGTCCAAATATTCTGCCCACTGAATTTGAAAACTGTGTTTCAGAAGCTGCTTTGCCTAATAGCAGCCCACTTTTTTTGTGATGCATGTCAAAGGCATTCTGGTGATATTTCAGGTTTGCAACATTTTGTTACCATGCCAAAATTTTTACACATTGAATTATCATCAATTTCTTTTGGTCAAACTGTTCTACCAGCAAGTATGGAACTCTTAGGTACATTTTACTTATTAAAAAAGCTGTTGTGCGGTGTGCAAGCCACCATTTCACTATTGCTATAAACAATGGTCGTTATTGGTTTTATTATGATGATCTCTGTAGTGCAGTTCAGCAATATGC